GACGGTGCTTCTGCCGCCGGGGATTATGCTACATGCATGCATTCTGAGATTCTAGGGAGCGACGCGCGTGTGTGCCTGACGACGAAGGGTGGTCTCCGCTCGCTCGCTGGTGAACTGGTCACGCCATTACCGCTGGTTTAAAAGACATCTATTCCACAGCCTCGTCGATACGGCGTCTCTTCTTTTCCGTAACAATATGATCATTGTTTCCGCATCTGTCACTGATCGCGCCCAGACGTAAACCTCTCGACCAAACGTAAGCTAAAAGCTGAACGAAATGGTGGCTCAGTTTGCTGCTCGGAGAATCGTATATTCGAACGACTTCAGTGACGCACCTAACGAAGTATACGAAAAAAAAATGAACCGGGACCCGAAAAGGTCATGTGTCGCAACTTGCATTCGTTTTACCGGTCGTTATTTTTTTTTTCGTCTCATAAATGTTTGTGGTCAGATGTACGTGCGAAGAAAAAAAACGTGAAGTGCAGAACCAGCGTCAATCATGTCGTCGCATGCACTAAGCACCTAGGCGCAGCATGTGCTGCTGTGAATAGAAACACCAGCGGCGTCACTGCCAGGGAGGCACGCAATATCGGGTCTCGCGTTCAAACACACACACACTAAATACGCCTGCATGCGCCCGATAGCATGTCGCCCGACGTCCGCTTTATGAAAACTTGTCACGCGCGCGGGACAATATGGCCCTGAAATCATTATGACACCTAAATTACCAGACAGAAAAGAGAAGGTAAGGTCGTCAAGTTACCAGACGAAAGCGATATTAGCGGCATGTCATATACGCATCAAAAATGTAGCTTACAGAGCGACCGCTACGAGGCCCTGCGTCAGACTCATGGCAAGCCACAAACGTTGCTATATAGGCGTGTGTACCGTTCAACTTTGCTGTTGTTTATTTTCCTTTCGCTGAAAATTAATAGGAAGGGAGGAAATGTCAGGCTATCCCAAGACATGGTATGAAAATCGAGGCTACCCCTCGTGCTATATAGTAAAACGCAGAGTTATTGTAACACACGAGCGCGCACTTATACGATGTCCAAAAAAAACACAAATGCAGACACAAATACACCTGACCTCATGAAAAAAACACAGATACACCTGACCTCATAGATCCGTCAAGTGAGCACATTCATCAGGTGATAGAAGTCAATGTCACTGCGCAATATACAAACACATGACAAGCTCGAACATGTATACCCACAAACACCAGAATATGATATTGCCGAAGTAATCTTGCAGCAAACCCCAAATGTACACAGGATTCTGTGCAACATTTGCATTCCGAAATGAATTTATTCAGGTTGCTATTCACAAGTTAATCTTCATTTCTGTTCAGAGTGACATAACTATGGACAAATTACTTTCGTTGTAGAAAAAGCACACGCATTCACGTGACTCAACTTCTCGCATAACTGCAGTCAAGGTAGATAATATTGCAAGCAATCGGCAAGATAGGGGAGTGTCTGCTATGCAAAGGTAGTTCTATATCTTTTCCTATTTTGCACGCGATAAAAAAAAGGTAATTTTCTGCAGACATGTGGTTGAAAGGGGAAACTAAGACGCGATTGCTGATTGATTGATTTGTGGTGTTTAACGTCCCAAAACCACGCTATGATTATGAGAGACGCCGTAGTGGAGGGCTCCGGAAATTTTGACCACCTGGGGTTCTTTAACGTGCACCCAAATCTGAGCACACGGGCCTACAACATTTCCGCCTCCATCGGAAATGCAGCCGCCGCAGCCGGGATTCGATCCCGCAACCTGCGGGTCAGCAGCCGAGTACCTTAGCCACTAGACCACCGCGGCGGGGCAAGACGCGATCGCTGCACTGCATACATATATAGGCCCTTTGCCCTGCTGTTTTTTGGGAGAATCAAAATTAGACTGGACGGGCCTCTCACACACGCCCCGTGGTGAGGTCGAAAAACTCGCACATACTCATTCAGACTGACTGAGGCTCAGGCCGAGCCGTGATACTGAGTCCGGTTGGTGTCAGTCCGAGTGACACCTGAGGGCGAGTTATATTTCGCGAGTGAGTATGAGTGAGCTACACATTGTTTTGCCGACCTCTATAGACCTAGCTACACAAACTTCATTTTTACTATTAGCCTAATGTAGGCTCACGTTTATAGTATTCATTATGTCTATTCACACATCATCGCAGTAGCATTCAAACGCCAGCTCAATATTTATTGAACAGGTGCGTAGGTTACGCAGGGGAGGGAGGAAGGAGGTGGCTTCACTTACATTCCATTCGCTTTAAAATGAAGTTTTGTCTTTAAAATGTTTCGTGTAAGTCACCGCTTTCTAAAGCGAGAAATCGGCAATAATAAGCACTGACACCTGGGACGAAACAGCTCATAGTACTTTGACGGGCTCATGAGTCGACTCCCTCAGATTCAGGTACGCCTGTCAGCCTGAGTCTAGGTGAATCCAAGTGAGTACTATTTTGGTGAGTTTGAGTCCGAGCGAGTGCAATTGAAAAAAGTGTTCGTGAGTCTGAGCCAGAGAGAGTCCGGTCGAGCAAAGCAAAACACTGCTGAGTGTGAGTGAGCGCCAAGGCCGAAGTATGTTTCATGAGGGAGTCTGAGTGAGCTCCAGGTTTTTGGGCTACCTGCGCGTATGCCTCAACATTTTCCCCCAAAGCGTTGCAAGCAAGACGTACGTCAGTGTCATGCTGATGTGTTCCCTTTTATTCTTCTTTCCCCATCTCTGGTGCCGCGTAGCCAAGCGGGCTCAGCCTTCGTTAAACTTCCTGCTTTTCATTTATAGACCCCTCGTCCCTTCTCCACCAGGGGTTCGGTAAAAACTGCTTATTACTATGAGCCTTCCATCATTCATCAACCCAGCTAGGTAAATATATTGTATTTCCTGGCTTTTTTCACGCCTTCCGTTATGCGAAGAAGTAATCTATAGCATCAGCGGGAAATCAAAAGCATTAAATGAACACCAGTACATCGTTTCTCTCATCGTTAAGCCAACAACAACCTCGACCTCACAGACTTCTGTTGGTTTTGTCTTTTTCTTTTTACAATTTCCAGAGCCTGCCCATGGGCATAGTACGATGTTGGAGGCCTTCCATTTGAATATCATAATGCGATGCCCTTGTGCCAACCACTCCGTGCACTATGTCGTGGCTAATGAAAACATGCACGCTTGGCAAAGCGCGTAACCATAAGTGAGATATAAGCGCTGAGAATTTCACGGTCCTATTGTTCCAGCCTGATTCAAATAACGAAACAAACCGTGCGAGATGTTTTCACGGGGTAATACAGGTATTGTTCAACCTGATGCAGTCTTTGTGCCTTGTATCCTGCCTATTGTTGGTGCGGCAAGTTTCCACATAAAGGAAGCGTAAATGCATTCGACAATCCACACTCATTTAAAGACTATTGCACAATTCCGTCAGTTTGTACAAACGTAGCCTGCAGTAGCGGGGCGACCCATTGGTGTGTTTTCGACAGCCAGCATGCGACCTGCTCATTATCAGTGTCTAATGCAAAAATTACGCCTACAAGCTGGACCGTGTGGCAGTGGCAAGCGTCGCAGGTCCTCCGGGCACGTTCTATACAAGCGCACGTTTTTGGCGAACCTATTTACCAATCAAAACCAAATGTGCGGTCACTTCACACCACGCCACAAGAGACAGGTTGCGTTTTCCTTGGTGGTCATTCTGTAATTTTGACTGACCAAACCCTGTACTTTTTCTCACATTGTGCGTCCGGCACAAGTCCAGTTGTGTTTCTTAATTACAGTAATAGTATGAAGGCACCCTTGCTATCGCGATGTTTCTTCATTTTTTGACATTAATATTCATCCGAATAGCCTCTTTCGACAACATAAGACTCGAGTTTTATTTGTTTCATAAGGATCCCATTAGAGTCAACTCACTGACCATCTCACGTGCTGTAACTTTCCTTGATGAAGAAAAAAAGTAAAAAATGATATGACATAGAGCAAGTGACATAATTTCGGTAAAGTAAAACAACAAAGAGGCAAAGCGTATTATGCCTGCATAGGAAGTGGATACACGCACAGTGTATATGTGCGCGTTCAGTGTCACAGAAATACTAGTTACAGACCAGTGGGCGCTGCCTTATATACGACAGCTCGCAGCCTTGAAGAGTGTCCTACGCTGGCCGCCATTGCGGCGAGCGGTGCTTGCTAACACTACCAGCGAAGATAAATATCCAATGAAGAGGATAAGGAAGTGACAGTCGCTGTAGCTCAATTAGTGGAGCATCGGACGCGTTATCTGAAAGTTTTAGATTCGGTCCCTACCGGTGATTCTTCATCTACTTTAATTCTTTTCCATTGACGCCATAGTCCGCCAGGATGGATGAGTCGTTATGATGCATGGTAGCTAACCTGAATGTCACGGGTGCGTGCCCGACCACGGCTATCGCATTTCAGTGGAGGCAAAATGGTAGCGGTTCGTGTACCGTGCGATGACCCTGCACATAAAAGAACACTAGGTGGTGGAAATTTCCACATCCCTCCAGCACGGCATGCTTCGTAATCATATGGTAGTTTTGGCACGTAAAAACTCAGATATACTTATAGTTACTGACGTCATAATTACAGTATACTACGGTTAAAACGTACGAGTAATGTCCCTTGTACCTTGTTTAGATTGATTCGTTTTTTGTAGGTTTCATTACGTTCAGTCAAAGAAAAGAAACAAGCCCTCAATAAATCATCTCTCTTAACGTTGCCATTTACAAGTATAGTACTGAGTGGCTGTAAGTTCTCAAAAGCCTCCCACACACGGCGGCATGTTACGTTTAGGCAACGTCACATCAACTTGTGCAACATGTTTTTTTTTTTTTCACATCACACGTCAAACGCCGCCATCCATCGCGTTTAGTACCATTGGAGGGCTGTGTGTAATGAAAGCTTGTGTAAGTAAAGTGGTCCATAGGGACGCAAGGGAGAAGTGTCCGAGCGCAGCTGTCCACGATGCAGGATGTGCGACTATGCCGCAGGGCCCTGCTCACGTACGACGGCGGGATGATCCGGGCCACGTCCAGGGGAGAGGACTTCGAGACCCTCAAGAAGAACCTCGCCGGTGAGTCTCGGCTCCAGCTCAAGTAGCTAGCCGTGCTGACGCATATTTCCATAACTCCCCTTCTTTCCATTCTCTCTCTCTCTTGTATTTTGTTGTAGCATTAAATGCTGTCGAGTGTAAATGAGGTTTTCGTTGTCGACTTGAACTATTAATGACTCAGCCAAGTGGACGTGTAAAAATGGGATTCTTCAGTAATATTTCCTAGCGATGGAGGAACCAATCAATCTTACCCTACACAACGGAGGGTAGTGCCTCGACTATAAAAGTGATTCATAAAAGGAAAATTACCACGCATGTCGTAGGGAGTATAGTTCGCTCAACTATACTTGTCGCTTTGATTTGAGACTTGAACGGCCAGAAAAGTTCAGAAATAATACGTCCATATATTCTGCAATACCAGTGGACAACTTCATTTGGCATCCAAACGAAGGCAGTATACCACAGAATTGTGACGTCAGACTCGGAGCCTGCCTTTCCTCAATGCATAAAAAGCGGGATCACAGCGCACGAGATTTGTCCACAGCGTTAACCTATTGACTGTCGTTGCGATGCTGAACTCGCGGACGCGACTTCTATTCCCAGACACGGCCACCGCATTTCAATGGGAGCAAGAACGTTCATGTATTTAAATTTAGGTGCACATTGAAGAAGCCCAGGTGGTCAAAATTATCCCCGAGACCCGATTGCAGCGTGCGTCATCACGCACGCCATCATAAAGCACGCAAGACTCTAGAATTTTAATTTTAAATGCGAAGCATTTTTTGCGTAGTGCAAGCTCTTCTGACGTTCATCTATCTATCTATCTATCTATCTATCTATCTATCTATCTATCTATCTATCTATCTAGCCACTTACATCTGGGCTCTCTCGTGATCAGCCCCTTAACTTGGCGTGAACCAAAACTAGTATGGAGGGGTAAGATGATTTGACAAATATGACGCGCTTGTCTAGACTTGAATAATACCAGAATTCCCTCGCGTACGTCATCCAAGACTTTCCGCTAGACGGTGGCACATACCAGCGGGCAGGTATGTGCCACTTGTATGCAGGTGTGTGCTACAGGTGATTGACACTTACCTCCGTATTCAGAAACGCTCCTCGACTTGACTTTCACCATTTACTTGACAGAGTTGAGCACTGCGCCGCTGCACGACTGAAAATGATGCCGCGCAGCAGATTATCGCTGATATGCAGTGACTTGCCATGTCTAGAGACGGCGCTCCCATCGGCTTTCTCAAGTGAAGGTGAAGCGTTGAGTGAAGGCACGTTCTAAAATACGGGGGTTAGTATTTACCCTGGAATGGCGAGAACACATATGGGTCATTTTAACGAGTGAGCGTTAAGGAAATGCTGGCATCAGCAGCGTTCACCCGATGAATGCAAATGTTCCCAAAGAATGCAGGGTTGGCCCGACGAATGCAGGGTTCCAGAAGGAATCGAGTCCCAGCATTTTGCGTCACAATCAAGTATTGTAGCACAGTGCTATGCCATGTCTCATAATTCATTTCGAAAAAGACACTAATGTTCGTGAAACAGGAATTGTGGTTGCAGTGCTCGGCTATCCAACTTTATAAACATTGCATGCGTATCATCAATGAACATTATATCATCATCGTTCATTGATGATATCATGAACACTGATTGGTCGTCAACAATACCCTTGGATGATCCACAAATTGCATTTTCAGAGTTTTCATCCATATTATTGTCACACATTCAGCGTCATACTGAGGTTCGCAAATGTAAAAAAAAAACATACGCCAGTCCTCAAATCCCTTGGGTTACTGAAAAATTACTGAAGGAGCTGAGAGCCGAAGAGAACCTTTATAAAAAAACAAAACGGAAGCCTTTTAATTTAAAATTACTCACGCGTTACGAAAAATTCTGCAATGCCCTTACATTGCGTCTGAAAAATGCAAAAAAGATTTATTATGAACGAAAAATTGAAGATGCTTCAAACAGTAAAAAAATGGGATATCGGCAACTCATTCCTGAACAGGAATGAAAGGCATTCTAGCATCACTACTATTTAGTATAAAAACGTTACGTATCATACTCCGTTAGAAATTGCGGAGGCCTTCAGTAACTACTTTTTTAACTCTGATGTCATCCCCAATGCTGACTATCATCTTCCCCTTTCTCGTATGTCACAATCTTTCTTCTTATCTCTTACCGCATCTTATGAAGTACATGATGTCATTCGTCACCTGAACACAACAATTGCTGGCCCTGATGGTATTCACCCAACCCACGTAAAAATGATTGCTCATGTTGTTTCTGATATTTTGGCATTCATCATCAACCTAGCTTTCAAAACTGGCATCTTTTCTGTAGAATTAAAAAGTGGCAGAGTCGTCCCCGTTTTTCAGAAAGGTGACCGTACACTGATATTCAACTATCGACCTTTTTGCATAATACCATTTCTCAGTAAAATATTCGAAAAATTGCTCGAAATTTGTCTGACGAAATACCTCAGTAAGTTTCAGATTTCATCTCTTTCCCGATTTGGTTTTCGCGAAGCATATTCCACATACCTCGCTTTGTTATCTTCAACTGAAAAGTTGAAAAGAGAAATCGATAGAGGCTACTACGCAGGTTCCGTTTTTGTAGATTTCACCAAAGCATTCGACACTATCAACCACCATATTCTTTTTATGAAGCTTGAAGCAATAGGCGTAACTGGTCCTGCACTATCATTAATAAAAAAACTACCTACTCAATAGAAGCCAAGTTGTCAGTCTGTCAGGTCATAATTCTATACCTAAAGTAACAAATATAGGAGTACCTCAAGGTTCTATTCTCGGCCCACTTCTTTTCATTATTTACATAAATTATTTGCCATCTTGCCTTGCCAGCTCAGAATGCTTATTGTGTGCAGACGACACAACAATTGTGAACACTGATAAATGCCTCCAATCTGTGACACAGAAACTCAATCATGACCTTTCAGGGTTGGCTGCGTGGTGTATCCATAATAAATTACAAATAAATCCCACCAAAACGAAATTCGTTATTTTCCACTCTCGCCAACGTGAACATAATTATATCCCGCCAATATTCCTAAATCAATTCGCAATTGAAGCAGACGATGAGGCGACGTTCTTGGGAATTAGACTGGACCGTCATTTGAAATTTCATTCGCATGTTGCATACCTGCGAAAAAAAATGGCTTACGGCATACGTGTTCTAATTAAATCCCGTGATATATTTTCCAAACCCACATTACTTTCATTGTACTACGCTTTTATTCATTCTCATATTAATTACTGTATCACATCTTGGGGCAAAACCTACAGCAGTCATCTCGTCTCCCTTCAAACTATGCAAAATCATTGTATTAGAATTCTTACCCTCAGTCATTATCGCAGTGATGCTAAAGTGCTCCTGCATGCCAACAACATCCTAACAGTCGAGAACACTTTCAAATATAATCTAGGCATACTAGTTTGCAAGCAAATAAAAAATTAGCTTCCTTTGTGTATACCCCTCTATCTAGTCTAGAGAATACAAACTTGACAAGGTTTGCACAAAATCACAATTTTATCTTACCTAGAGTTCATACTAACTATGGCAAACAAACAGCTCACTTCACTGGAATCCATCTCTGGAATACTATACCTTCAGGAATAAAAGCCTCGGAATCAATCGGCATATTCAAAAAAAAAAATGAAGACTTTCCTCTCATCCATTCCATTATCTGGATAGTTTTGGTGACTTCTATTACTCCCGCTCCCTTTCATGCTTTCTCATAACCTAACGTTAACAAAACACCACATCATCATCCTACATTGCTGATATCAGATGTCACTGTTTAGTTTTCTTTTCTCGTAGTTTTTTACTATCTTTCACCATGGTAATTATCTGAAAACTACTTAGGAGAGTTGAATTACCTCTATTTTTAATGTTGGCTCGTTTCAGTTTTTGTTGCTGCTTTCTGCTAACGTTTTTTTTTTTTAAGTAGAACTCCTTTTTCATTTTTACCGGCGACGTATTTCATTACCTGTTTTCTGTGTCACTGTTTGCTGCATCAATTAATTTTTTCTATATTCACTACTGTAGGAGGTCCCGATTTAGTCTCTGACTATGGGACCTCCTTCTGTATACACAATTTTTTTGTAATTGATTCGATGACAAAATAAAACCATTTCTGATTCTGATTCTGATTCCTACGATGTAGCCGTCACGGTTGGGTTAACGTCAATTGCAGTTAGGTGTCATCCACTAAGTTGATTTACGTAGCAGTGTCCAGGGCTATCATCCTCGCGAGCACCAGTGCTTGATATTAGCTTATTGCTTCTGGTGTTGCTAATACTCACGTTTTTGTTGGTATCGTTGCGCATGTGCAAAGAACTGGTTATATAAACGTCTGCAACTGTTCAACATGTGTCTGTGCATGCAACATTTGTACATAAATTTAGCGTCATTCCATAAGGTATCACTCCATAAAAAAAATTACAACATGGTTACCTTCCCTCCACATGCTTCACATAATGTCGATTCTCAAGGTACGTGGGATCTGTCGAATTTTTTTTCTCTCTCTACTATTGTAAACCATGGCTTAAAATAAATGATACCCCAAGTATAAGTAACTTGTTTTCATCAGAGCTGTGTTTGTAATTGTAGGCTAAAATGTTGAATCTATTAACCAAACCTAATAACTTCGTATTACATTGCACTGTCCGAAAGTTCAATTTTATGTTTTTAATAAACAAATAACCTTTCAGAACACTCTCCATTGAGCCCCGAAATAAGCACATGCAGTACATGAGCACATGGCGAGTAAATAGCTTAACGTTACTAGAACAGTAAAAAAAAAATAGACACACAGGCACTGTCAGCTCTCGGGATCGTATGAAAGCCTAATAAATTGCCCAATGCAGCGACAAGAAACCTTGGCTGTTCAAAACTACCATTTATACCTTAATGGTATAGTCACAGAATTCACATTCAGGGTGACATTGTGCGTCCCTAATTGTGTGTTTCTGATCCGTGCCTCTTCAACCCGCCTATGTTGTCACAGCGGAAAGTGAAGATCCTTGCACCACGTGCTCTGCGCTGGTGCAGAAAGCAACGAAAGCGCTCCTGCATATAGACTTCAAGTCCAGTGGTCTCTGCAGCAGTTTGTGAATTCAATCGATGTATGAGCACCGATAATGTCCCTTCACCACCCTTGTCTCTCCCTCGTTTTACCACATTTATCTATTTCTCCCGGAGCAAGGTAGCCCACCCGACGCGTGCATACAGTCATTCTTATTCTCCCCCTAAGAGCTAAAGAGAAACCTGCACTCGCCCGCTGTCTCACCTCTATGTCCATTGCGGTGTCACTTTTGATTTCAACGAATTTGTTGTAAAAAAAGCGCCAACTCGTTGTCCTACCACCTTCATTTTTTAAGTCATTGATTATCACAAAAACAAAAAACACACATTTTGGATGGGACCTCATACAGAAAGCTCTAAATATATTCTTACTGACGTATTGCAGAAGTGTTGCGTCACTATAATAGAACGAGATACTCATCCTAACTGGTATTCAGTCCTTCCCATTGAAAGTATTCTGTGAGTAATTGGCCAAGAAGGGAATTTTCTACGGTCGCACGACTTCTAGCTGAAACAAACAGATGCGCAAAAAGAAAGGTCTATGTATACCACCCGATCACATGACGTCTATGCCATTGTGTGGTAAAAGTGCAACTTCCGTGCGAATATAATGGTGAACTTTGCTCGACAACGCCAATGGGAAAAAAAAATGTTTGACACGTGCACCGGTTTTGTCTGACTTTCATTCAGGCACCCAATGCCTCATTCAGGCACCCAATTCCGTACATGTTACATTTTTTTTTAATATGCTATTTGTAACAGTCACTGTGAAGATCGCTACAAGTTCACAGCTTCACTTCAAAATCACTTCTTTGCGCTTGCTTCGCGTAATTCTAAGCGTGGTGCCGCAAGCACGCGATCATCAATGTGAGACGGTGAAGAAGCAGGTTCTCGAAGAGAACTTAATGGTGCGATAAAGGACATATTTAAAACCCTTGTCGCAAAAAACGCCACTTTTCCAAACACCTGATAAGCCAGGATCGTCGTTTAAGTATGTCTATGAGTGCTCGGCTATGAAAACTAGTTCTAGTTCAGTCAGCGCTCGTTTGACAGCATATGGTGATAATCAATAGGGAGTTTTAGAATAGCGCACCGCGAGCCCTTGCGGTGTGGTCGCTGCCACTGCGCATGCGTCGTAACGCGAGTCGGCGTTCGCGTTCGCGGACCGCACGCAAAAAATTCTAAATTGCGTGGGGTGATGGCGGCCCACATGTGGCTCACAAGCGCTAATTTCGAGGCTACGGTGTCGCTGCGATCGTGCGTTGCGGATCGCAGCAGGACAAACGCTATTCTAAAACTCATATGGCGCCTGCTACGCCCGCAACGCCCGCAGCGCTTGCAAACGGTATTCTAAAACTCCCTAATGTCATAATACGCAATGTGTTTGTTGTACGTGTACCAGGTAACTTATATTTCTCGATCACTGATGAATTAAATACGCACAGTTCCCACAGTATGTAAGTCTGATAATAGCCCCCAGTAGTTTTCCCGCCACGTCAAGGACGAGATTCGACAGAATGAATGTCATATTTCCTTCTTATAATGCTGATCCCGACGGGAACGTGTACCGCTCAGTGCGGAAGCCTGGCAGAAGATACGAATACACTCTCGGTTGGCAATAGAAACCACTTAATTTTACGTCAGAGAGATGCACATTGACCACCACTGGTTACCATTGACCACCAATGGTTAACGCGTAGCCCTCGCTTGTCGATCACAGAACACGAGAGAGCCTTCATCTACCTCCGAATCCAGGCCGGCGACGAGATGAGCAAACGGTCCAAGTTTGTCTTCATAACATGGCTTTCAGAGACAGTCGGAGTGCTGCAGCGAGCCCGCATCAGCAGTGACAAGGCTGCCGTCAAGGAAATAATTAAGGTGAGTCAGAACCTGTTGTCGCTTCAGAACTTGCTTCGGAACTTGCTGTTTGACTTGGTTTGGCGGGCCATTGCTTACGAACGACGCCAGAGAACATGAACTAAAGAAAGAGAAAGCAATACGATCACAAGCTCCTCATCAACGTTTCGCTGCATTCATTTATTCCTCCCGTTATTTGGATACATTTGCGAGTAAATATCTTCTATCGAAAAGTTTGTGCAAACGACCTCCTTTTCTAGAGCACATAAATCTGGTGGACTTATTTATTTTTTTCTAATTTCACAACTAAGCGAAGACGTTCATCAGTTTCAAACGCGTTTCTGATATCTAAGCTTGTTTGCACCAAAGCTCACAGTGGCTCAAATTGTAGCTCAAATTACGCTAAAACGAGGTCTTCTTTTGTTTTATCGTCTTTTAAAGAAATTGGCAGAGCGAATTGTGGGACTACCACGTAAAAATGGTGAAATTTTCTGATATCTAAGCTTGTTTGCACCAAAGCTCACAGTGGCTCAAATTGTAGCTCAAATTACGCTAAAACGAGGTCTTCTTTTGTTTTATCGTCTTTTAAAGAAATTGACAGAGCGAATTGTGGGACTACCACGTAAAAATGGTGAAATTTTCAGTTGCCGCTGAAAGGGTACATATATATAGATATTGAGAAGGATTACAGACAACACAAATGGTATGGTGGTTTCGTCACACTGTACGAGTGCAAATGACATGGAAACACCTCTGTTTAGTTTACAATGACTATCGTGCGGAATATGGAAGATCGCATAGTTAATAGACGCCAAATAACCCCCTTATGTACGCCCCGCATTACACCATTTCCTATAATACATGACCTCAACATAATTTGTTCATGCATAACACCTATTTCACCCGACTCTCAATATATGTTCGCATCTATGCAATTAGCTTATAAGTTAATTGCTCATCTCACATTGTTAAAATTAGGTGCGTTTTTCCCCCGACGTTATATTATATTTCAAAATTCGTAAGGGCTTTTGATATCTCATTTCCTTGAATACGCATCCGCGGCCTAATGGCCACAGCATCAGGCTAGGATTCTGGAAAAATCATGTTGAAAATTAACAGTAGCAAATATCTCGAGGTACGATTCCCGCAAGAAATCTTCGGTTTAATTAGAATGAATTATAACATATGGCTCGAGGTTTGTTCGGAGTAGCAGGTAACTGAAAAAAAAAAAAGATCGTGACCGAGTTTCGTCTCCTCTATATGAACACTTTCTATGCGAATACCGTTTCTATAGCTACATAGACACAACGACAGTTATGTGCCTGTTCCAGAATGTTCTTATCCCGACGGCTTGCTGTCCCGCGAGTTGGTAAACGATTGAAGTATACGCTTGCCTGTGCATACAACTCTTATGAGCCACTCGACACATGTTTTGCGGAAGTGTGCGGCTTTGATAGAGGCTGGATTAAGCGAAATACACGGCACTCAAAACGCAGAGACTTCTTTTTACAGCAAGAGCTATCGTTTAATGAAATGATAAATTTCAAACGCTTATCACATAAAATTTACGTAATCAAAGCAGTCCTTAGACATAATACGCTGTCTAGTGTCAGTACACTGCAAATTACGTGCAATTTCCGTATGTAAATGCGGGTACCGTTTGGGCTCGGTAATTGCCAGTACGTCTCGTTTTCTATATGTAATATTGCCTCATTTTTTAGTTTTTAAATGTGAAGCATTGCTTAGTGAACTGTAGGCACACCGACCATTTCGATCTATCTATCAATCTATCTATCTATCTATCTACCTATCATTCTGTCTATCTATCTATCTAGCCGCCTACATCTGGGTGCTCTCCTAGCTGCTTCCTCAAAGGGACACTAAAGTTAAATATTAAGTCAACGTGGAACTTTGTAGTGCTACTTTTGTGCCAAGGAAGTGCTTATTTGAAATAACAGCACGGTTAATGGTCCGCATCGCGTTAGCGCATTTCAAGTCACCTGCGCCGGAAAGCAGTCTTTCAGACGTCGCTGTTACCGTGTTCCACATTGCCTTTACTATGCGGTCGCCCACGCCCCGCCACGGTGGTCTAGTGGCTAAGGTACTCAGCTGCTGACCCGCAGGTCGCGGGATCAAATCCCGGCTGTGGCGGCTGCATTTCCGATGGAGGCGGAAATGTTGTAGGCCCGTGTACTCAGATTTGGGTGCACGTTAAAGAACCCCAGGTGGTCAAAATTTCCGGAGCCCTCCACTACGGCGTCTCTCATAATCAAATAGTGGTTTTGGGACGTTAAACCCCACAAATCAATCAATCATATGCGGTCGCCCACTCCTGTAGCAGCAGAGCGAATGTAGCGGAAGCCACGGTAGCAACAACGGCCATTGAACAATTTTCTGCAATCTCGTAGGTCATGACTCTACTTGCTTGGTTCAACTGGGCCCCGCTAGATTCCACCACCTAACTAGCCTAACCAGCCAAAAATTGAACTTTTGAACCACTCGCGCCATTTCCCATAGTAACGCCAGGTGGTTCTTTTTTCTATAAATTAACAAAAATTGACAAGCAGCATTTTATTGCGCTTCTTGATGCACAGAAAGTTATTCTTTTATTGCAGCTAACGTCAGTGGTGACGTTCCCTGAGGCCATAAGCTACCCCTTAGACGCCAGTGTAATTGGCATACCTGGTGAGCCTACGGTATGCGCAAAACTATTCAATTTACACAGGCACGGAACGTCGGTCCACCTCATAACACTTGGCTCAAAGCCAAAACGTACAATGAACAAAACTACAGTAAGAATGCTTAGCATGAAACCGATTCCCACAATGCGCGGGAGCTGCCGGCATTTTATTACTATTATTAACTTTATTCTTATCTTTATCTTTGTTAGTTCACTTTGACTAACACGCAATGCGCATTCGCTACTTATATAGTAACTGCAGGTAGTAGCTATCAACGTGGTAACTTTATTACAATGACGTTTTCTAATCACACTAAGCACCTAAAGGGAACTAGTTATACAACTAACTTACTATTATACAACTTATACAACTAACTTACTAAGTCACTAACTTACTATTAAGTGGAATGGTACAATTTCTGGTGTTCAACGTCCAAAGCGACAGAGGCTGTGAGAAACACTGTAGTTAGAACGGCATTAATTCCTAATCACTCATCACCGCATGTAATTACCAGGATAGGTAGATGCCACTATGGTATATTCGCATGCCATCTCTGTTGACATGTTTGACTAACATGTCGTCACAAGCCTCCACTACAGGCTGGCAGCGTTTTCTGACCGTCCAAGCAAAAAAAGTGTTGCAGGGTCCACTAGACGTTATAGCGCAGCATGCGGCCTAGAGTTTACATTTATTTCACAATGTCAACCAGAACTCATTCACTCTTCATAAAGGCAGCAATAATCCAAATTTCCACGTCACAAGCACAACGTCCACGGCCATTGGCTGGTTTGAGCAAAGTGAGCTGCAAAGTTATCGCGGCCGCCTCGAGGTGCCGCAACACGCCTGCCCCTGCGCTCGCTCACCGTCACACTGAAAGTAAGTCGTACGTTCAAAGAAAAAGAAAGAAAAGTGTTCAAGGTGATGACGCATGCTGATGAACGGGCGCAGCTTTTTGCCCTCTTGGCTCTACCCCACTCCACCCTGCCGAGCACTTAACGCGCTCACTGGTACTAAGCGAGAGAGAAAGAACTTTAAAGGGGCCCTAAAACACTTCTTTAAGTAACCATTGAATGAATTAACTGGAAGAACTTATTGCCTCACGAATTCAACGCTGCAAACATTTTAAGAATCCGTCCAGTGCGAGTGGAGTTACTAAGATTTGTCGCATGCTGCAATTGCATTTTCTCTTCTCTCGTCCCGACGAAAGCGCTGAAAGCTAAGCAGGGAGGAATGACAGGGCCACAGAAAAACGTCACGTGCGCCTCGTGACCTTGAGCACTTTCTTTTTTTTTTCTTCGAATGCGTGGATTTTTCAGTGTGATCGCACGCGCATGGATGGATGGATGGATATGACTGTACCCTTTAGATCGGGCGGTGGCTAGCGCCGCCAAGCCGTAATACCTAATGAACCAAAAACTACATTTTTTTTTTCCTTTTAAAAAGTGAGGTTGAGGATTCGTACTTTGCAGTGAAGGGTTTAATTTTCACTCGTGCCTTGACTTTAGCCACCAGTCAGATAACCTCTTTCTAGTTAATTCTACCTGCTTAAAGTCTATTTTGCCCTCCCTGTCCCTAAACCCAACTGCTTTGAAAAACTCTGTGCCATCATCCTGAACTATAGGCCGAAGCCATTTACAGAACATTATCAAGTATTCGGCAGTTTCTTCTTCCTCTCCACACGCACTGCATACCGTGTCTACCCCTTCGTATTTGGCCCGATATGTCTTGTTTCGCAATACTCCCGTCCTGGCCTCAAACAGTAGATAACTACCTCGAGTATTATCATAGATCCTTTCCTTGACAATTTCCTGCTTAAAAGTTCGATGTACCTCTAGTGCGGACTTCTTAATCATGCCAATTTTCCACATATCGGTCTCAACTTCCTTCACCTTCGTCTTAACCAATAATTCTTTTTCGTTTGGCCCCCTGCTGTTTTCTAAGTATTTACCAGTCAATTTTCTGGTTCGCTTCCTCCATTTTGTATCAACATTCTTCATGTACAAGTAGCTGAATACCTTCCTAGCCCGATGCTCCTCCCCCATTTCTCTCAATCGCTTCTCAAATTTTATCTTGCTGCTAGCTTCCCTGCCCTCAAATGATGTCCATCCCATATCACCTTGTACTCCCTGATTTGGTGTATTCCCGTCAGCTCCTAAGGCAAGCCTACCTATTCCACGTTGCTATTCCACGCGTGGAAAAATAGCGGCCTCCCACGGCGACATCTGTAACGAGTGAGCGCGCCATGTTCCAATCAGCCAATGCCTGATAGATGAGCTCGCTACGTGTGATTTTTGTGCATATTGCGTGATTTGTCGAGAGGAGAGAAAGCAATTTTTAGCT